AGGAAGGATGTGGGACAGAAAGCAGAGCCAGGCAAATGAAAGGTTATGCCACTGCGCTGGAAAAAAAGGTATGCTAAAAGATCCTGAAGGGACACTGTCTGCAGCCAGAGCCAAGCAGGGTGGAGGGTGGAAGACATAGGGCTTCAGGTGTAAGAGGTCACCAAGAGGCTTCTGTGATGTTTGGATATTTATCCACATTCTTATCATCATGCTCAGTGCAGAAATTATTTCCCAAGCCCTTTGGTTTGCAGCAAAGCCTGGGTGCTTCTCTGGGACATGAAGCAATATCCTGAGACAGAGTCATAGCCTCTGCCCCTCTAATGGCAGGGCTGGTCCACAATTCCTTGCCTCTATTCACATCCTCTTATACAGTGCTCTCTCTGCCTGATGAACTATTCATTCTTCAACAGCCAGGCCAAATTTTGCTTTCTCTGTGAAGTGTAGCAGATTTCTCCACGCAAAGTTAGGTCATTCATTTTTCTGTCCTCCCGTTGTACTCCACTCATATCACATATCACTGTTTTCATGTCTGTTTCCCCTATCAGACCATGAGCTCCTCAAGGGCTATGTCTTATTTTTGTTTTTTCCCATGCCCAAGCCTAGTGTTGGTACATAATAGGTGTTGGGTTCATGCTGAATAAATGAAACTCCAAGGGCAGAGAAGTTCAGCATCTGGAAGGTACAGAGAGTCATGATGGTGACAGTCCCTTAGCCCACACCTTAATGTGCCTACTAATCATCTGGGGACCTGATTGAATGCAAATTCTAACTCAGAAGGAAACAGAAGGGCCTGAGAGCCTATATTTCCAACAGGCTCCCAGGAGATGCTCCTGCTTCTGCTGGTCTGCAGTCCACACTCTGAGCACCAAGGCCTTCCAGAGTCTGGCTCTCAAACTTGCTGAGAAGTCACCAAGAGGGGCTTCAGGAAAGCCTGAGAAGGGAAGGAATCAGTGGGATTCTTTTCCATGAGTGGCAAGAGCTCTGTTGAGGGTGGTAGGATGAGCCATAGGAAAACTAACAAACACGCCATCACCCCCAAAAGGTTCTATTTGATCTTTTGAGTAATGCCAGGATCAAGAGGAAAATGGTCAAGAGGAGAAAGTTCTTATCAAGATCTCTTATTTTTTTAGTTAAAAAAATTTTTTTATACTAGGCTTCATGACCTATGTGGGGCTTGAACTCAACCCTGAGATCAAGAGTTGCACATTCTACCAACTGAGCCAGCCAGATGCCCCTATCAAGATCTTCTTAGAAGAAACAATCCCCTACTTCAGCCACAGGGTTTGGGACACCCAATCACATAAAACACAATATGATTCAACCACTCCATTCTTCCAAAATGAAGACCATCTCATATTGCTGCAATTCATATACCTGATTGAGATTCAGGTGTCCACAAGAGCATTGAAGACATATGGGACTAGACATTCAGGGCTAACTAGATGTTCAGATATGCTATAAATACCAGGCATAAGATGCTGGAAACAAGATAAAGATCTGAGAGCCCCATCTTAGGAAACTCTTAAAACACTGTAAATTTTCACTCTAGTTTAGAGGTTACATGATAGCAATCTTAAGAACACCACTTGGAGCATCATTCTGTTACTATTTATCCCCAACTCTGGGTGTTATCTCTTGGGCCTCAGTTCCTAAAGATGGTGGATGAGAGGTCTTATGGTACCTTCCAGCCCTAAGAGTTTATGATTCTGTGACTGTTTTCAGACTTGGAAAATCTGCCTTGCCCACATGGATTTAGTCACATTCTCCTTACACCAAACAGGAATGATCTGCCATTGTGGCAGCCAAATCTGGCACCAGAAAATGCCCACTGAAGACAAGTCCAAATGCAGTACCAAGCTTTCTGAGAAGCCTTTAGGAAATTTCATCATCAACTTTGCAGAAATCATGAAAGATTAAAATTAATGGGTCTTACCTGCCAAGTGCCTTGGCCTCTGGTGGCAGCCGGTGGAGTTATTCTGCTAGGAAGAACTGGTGTTTTATAGGTTCCACCAAGAATTTATTTCTGGGAAAGGCCAAGAAGGGAGATTTTGAGGGACTGAGATGGCTTGGAGGTTCAGCAGGAAACACCCTGTGACTCCAGGCAGATGCATGAGGAAACTGCAGGGATTGGTTGATGCAATATCACTGATTGGGTGGAAACAGAACCTCTTCTTCCCATTTTCAAGGTTAAATACTGGTCCTGCTGTAGTTGTGGAAGGCAAAACTCCAAATTCTGAGCACTCATGTCCCTCTTAAGCCCTTTATGGCATCTGAAAAACTCTTAAATTGGGAACAATTGAATGGCCTCTTCTCCACTCATTTATTCACTGCCTTTTGATCCCTCCCTTACCTTTCACCTGATTCTTTGTAGAAGGAGATAGATTTGTCCTGGATTTAAAGCAATAAAAAAAAAACTGACTTTTTTTTTTTTCTGTGAATACTGCCCCTTCTTTTGGCCACCAGAGAGGTCACAAGAACCCTGAACTTGTCAGGGTGGTAGGTTAAGTCCCCATTTCTGTCATTTATATGGCTCTGGGAAAGTCATTTCACCTTTTGGTATATCACATTCTCTAGTTAGAAAATTGATAGTTTAAATGATTACTAGGAGTCTGTAACTTCATGCCTTCTATAGGATGGCCATTAAAAAACACCAATATCTGGGAACTTACATGTAATATACCACCCCTACCTCAATGACTTTGAAATTTCAAGTTAACTCCACAAAGGAAGGAAACAGGAAGTTTCCTGAAATTTCAGGAAAATGAAATTTCATTGAAATGTATTTTACAGACAGATAAAAACATAAGCTCTTGGGTGCCTGAGTGGTTCAGTCGGTTAAGTGTTTGACTTCGGCTCAAGTCACAATCTCACAGTTTGTGAGTTTGAGCCTTGCATTGGGCTCTCTGCTGTCAGCACAGAGCCTGCTTCAGATCCTCTGCGCCCCCCTGACCCTCCCCCACTTTCTCTCTCTCTCTCTCTCTCTCTCTCTCTCAAAAATAAACACTTTTAAAAATTAAAAAAAACCCATATGCTCTTCATGAAATTATGCCTTGGGTTGAAAATACTCTGAGAGACTGTCAGAAATTCAACAACCATGTACCAAACCCCTGGGTTTACCTTCCAAAAAGTGATATCCCTTTTCTTCAGCTTATGGAAGGTAGTTAAAAGCTGCTTCTCTTGTGATTTGCCCAGGCAAATGAGCTGGGTATCCCAGAAAAAGGCAGCCGTCCAGGAAAGCAGAGTGAGGGACTTTAGGCTCTTGTTTTCTTTGAAAGACATTTCTGTTCCTCAGCCAAGCATTGTTTTTCTTTGTGTGACCATTCCTTGAACTTTGGAACATGCTTCTCCAGGCTCTCACCTCTGGGTTTCATGCTTTATGGGTTAACAGAGCTACATCATTAGATGAATCTGACCTAGTTGGTTTCAATTGATTTCAAGATGGAATTTCCTTCTAGAAGATCTATGAGATAACACCACTTTCCTATGTACAATATATAGTGAACTACTGGAGTCAGGGTAACAGCAAAAGGCAGGTCTGACTGTTCTTGGGTCTTGATCATGTTATAATAGGATGTGATATGTCCTAGGTCTGACCTTTTTGTAATGGGCAAGGATGGGGCAGTGTCTGCTCCAGACCAGTGTGGCCCTTGCTTTGTTCTTAGCGTGAAGTATACCTGGAGGCAGTCACAGCGGACATATAACTGACCTGTGGCTAATTTGTGTTTTCAGAACTTTGTTGACATGCAATGACATGTTATCATGGACTTATCTCAGTCTAGTTAAATCTGTTTAGTACAGTTATTTGTCTTCCAATTAGGGAATGACAAACTGGCCTGAGAAATGGAGACAGGAAGACAGAAAGTCCAGTAGAAGGCTAAAAAGGCCAATAGATTCTCATATAAGAGCACAGAGATTTCAAGATATTTTAGTAATAGAGCATCAGCAGCTGGGAGAACCCAATGAATATAAAGTCCATTCGACCTCAGACATGGTTGCTTTTTTCTATTGCCTTCCAAAATTAGAATTCTGAATGCTACACACAAAACCTTTGGCTGATCAAAGGGACACTCATGGTCAGTGCCAAAGTGGCCACTGTTTCTATGAGGTGATTGTAGCTCTCACCCTGTCCCATGGCCTCCCCACCATCTCCACCATTTCAGGTTCCATCTTCCTTGGAAGCATTGCCAGTCCCTTCCTCAGTTGTCTGTTTGCAGTGATCTCCCAGTGGCTTGGCTGCCATTCAGAGCTGGATAGTTTATTTTTTTCTTTCCTGGTTAAAATGCATTTCCCCTTCTTGTTTCCCAGAACACCAAACAAACAGACTTCTTGTCCCCAGCATGGCTCCATATACCAATGTTTGCCCTGTCTGGGCATTGTCCATTTGTTCTACCCCAGGGAAGGAAGGAACCTTAAGGAAGGTGCTCTGGCTTGAGCCATCCTGGCCTCTGGAGTGGGGTAGAGATGATTAAGCTTCTCTGAATCTGGTCTCTGGGCAGCACAGGCCCTTGAGAGGCATGGCACATTGCCAGGCAGAACCTTTCAGAGCAAGGAGGGATTTGCAGAAGATAAAAATGTCTGGGATAATTTGTGTGCCTCCCTCAACAGACAGGAAGGGGCTCCATTGTCTTTTCAAAGTATTTTGTAGTGGGAAGATTCGCCAAATGTTTGGTGGTTTCTGAGATTGGCATAACATAAGGATTCTGAGTGACAAACTTCCTATCAATGAGTTTTTCCAATTAGCTACAGTATGCTGGGAACTAAAGTGCTGGGTCTTGTTAAGGCCTCCCCAGGAACCTTGGTGGAGTGGGTAGAATGTTATCCCTTCCTTCTCTTCATTCAGTGAAAATCCTTTTTTTGGTCAAGACCATTCTCCCATTTCCCCCAATGTCCTGTCCTTCCTTCCTCTTATTCTCTGCCCTCTTGGATATTCATTGAGCACCTGGCCTTATGTGTGTCCTGTTTTGTTTTGTTTCTTACTCTCAATTCTTTCTCTTCTTAGCTTACATATTATAAATTTTTGTAAGTTTATTTCAAATGAAAAAGGCATCAGATCAGTTCTGTGCCTTGGGAGGGTAATGTAGGGATAGGACTGGAAGAAGCACAGACCTCAGAGTTCAGCCAAGACAATTTGGCCCCAAATAAATCCAGAAACAGTTGGGGTAGAGATGGGGAGATAAGCTAACTATCATATATGTCATGAATAAACTCAGGATTTTCAACAAAAGCAACCTTAAATTATTATTGTTATTATGTGAGGAGTCTAATGAGGTATACCTTGGGGGTAAATACACAAGAAAATATCATTCCAATAAAATTCCCGTTGCTCAAGCAAACCTGCATGTGCACATGCGAACACATAGATGAAACATTAAGCAATAAGTGGAAGAGCAAAGAGTGCTGGAGTAAGACTCAGAAAGTCAGGTCCTAGTCATAGCTTGCTTCACACGGGCTGTGTGACCTTGGGGAAGTCACTCTTTATTTGCAGGTCTCAGTTTCCTTATCTGAAAAGAGAAGTGGATCCACTAAATAAGTGTGATGCTTCCCCTAGGCTCTGATGTTTAGGATTCTGTCATCAGATCCAGTAGGTCCCAGTATCAGTCTGCCCCTGCCCCCTTGTACAATCCTGTGCAAGTCACATACCCTCACCTACCCTCTTTACACAAATAGGGGACCAGAATCCTATGTTATTCACTTTCAGGACCAGCTGAGATGGGGTTTTCTTTAGTTCTGGGGGACAACTGAAATAAAAGATGAGAGGAATCTTGTTGAGAAAGAGGAAGAAAAATTCTGCAGGGATGTGATCATTCTCTCAGTCACTCAAGTTGGAAACCAGGGAGTCTTCCTGGATGCTCTTACTACTTCTACTTTTCTCCTTCTATTCCTCCTCCTCCTTCCTCTCCCTTTTCTCCTCCTTTTTCTCCTCCTCCCCCCTCCTCCTTCTTCCCCTACTTCTCCTTTTTCTTTTCCTCCTCCTTCTTTTCTTTCTCTTTTTCTTCCTTCTGCCTCACATCTCAGTCACCAACTCCTATACAATTGTCCTCCATAAATCCCTTCCTATGTCTCCAAGCCCATCACACATCACCCCTCTACCCAAACTCTCCATTCCAGTCAAATTCACCTGCTCCTTTTTTCCAACATGCTAAGCACATCCTGCTCCTGTGCCTTTCCTTCTGCCATCCTCCATACCTGGCTTGTTCTCTCCCTTCTTTTGTAAGTCCAGTGTTCAGCTCAAGCCCTATCTTCTTTATGAAGCCTTCCCTATCTGCCAAGCTCCAGAGAGCACTGTCCATTGGTTTATTTTCTCTCCCTTTTGCTTTTCCTATTTATTATCTCTTTATGCATCTTTTCTGTTGCCAAAATCAGATTCTCAATATCTTAAGAGCTCTAAGTTATATTGGGTAATCAATAATATTTTTTTATTATAAAGATGATGACAGTGGTGTAAAAATCACTTGGCTTAACTTAGTCATTGAAGTCCAAGTTCTTGACTGTCAGTTCTAAAGCTGTTTCTAGAAACCATTTCCTAGACTGATTAAAATTCTGTGACTATTTAAGGTGTAGCTAGAGGAAATAATTTCTGGATTTTTCTCTTTTCTCCTTTACTTTCCCCAACTTAGAGCCCCACTGCCCATCCTAAGCTGCACAAAAATAGGGCCAAGTGATCATAAGGAACATCTGAATCTTGGTCCTTTTATAGTTGGGAGAAAAGAGTAGCTTAAATACCCTTCTCAAACTTAAGGTAGAACTTCAATGTCTATTTCCCAGATGGCTGAAGAATCTTTCAGAAGCAGCAGGACCCATGTGACCCCAGTCTTGTAAAGTTGCTTAGGTCTCTGTGCTGGACGGAGGCTGGAGTACTGAATGGACATCCCTGAGAAGGCCCCCTGCTCCCCTGCTGACTAGCCCACCACTGGTGGGTGGTGCATGCTGGGTGCCAAGATGTGTGCTTCCCAGACTTACTATAAGTGGATGAGTTCTCACTACTTCTTGATGGGGCTCCATCCAGATTTGGGGGTGTGCAAGAATAACATGCTCTGGAAGATTGTTGTGGAGGCTAGAATATGGTGAGGTGCTTCAGCTAACTCTATAATAGAATCCCTTCCACTCTGGTGGGAACCTGGGGAGGGCTAAGTGGTTATTTGCCTCTTATTCTTCTTGGGGTGCTAAGAAGGGACAGAGGCCCAGGGAGGGCAGTGAAAGAATGTTTACTATTCTGCCTTCTTGTTCTTCCCTTAAGAAATAAGAATTCTATATAATGTCCTTCTATTCTGCAAACAATAGGGCATGGGCAAGCTTTTGAAACATTGCCTCTGTGTACCTCTAACAAAAGAGTACTATGAGCGTGTATCCCTGGAAGAACCTGAGATTCTACAATTTCTTTAATATCTCACACTTTTTAATAGAACTTTTACTTCAGAACACTTTTGGATTTCCAATATTATTGCAGAGGTAGTACAGAGTTCCCTATACCCATATGCAGTTTCCACTGTGATTAACATCTTATGTCACTGCAGTACATTTATCTCAATTAATGTTACCTTATTATCAACTAAAAGTTTGATATCTCACATTTTAACTTTAAAAAGTTTTGCTTTCATGTCCCGCAGAAGTGATCTGTGTTTGTTTTTATATAAACATTTTAAATTTACTTACCATTGGGGCACCTGGGTGGCTCGGTTGGTTAAGTGTCCGACTTCGGCTCAGGTCATGATCTCACAGTTTGTGAGTTCAAGCCCCACGTCGGGCTCTGTGCAGACAGCTCAGAGCCTGCAGCCTGCTTCAGATTCAGTGTCTCCCTCTCTCTGCCCCTCCCCTGCTCATGCTCTGTCTCTCTCTGTCTCTCAACAATAAATAAACGTTAAAAAAAATTTAAATTTACTTACTATTTAGCTAAAGCAGACACCCCAGTATGAGGCACATTTAGCCTGTGTTCTGTGTTCGTTGGGCTATTCCTGCTCCCCTGGAGAGGTGTCCAGCTAGCTTGGGCAGAGAGGGAACTTGGAGTGGGGCCAGCAGATCTCACTGGATCCTAACAACCCTGCTCAGTAGCTGTCACTTGGTCACTTGATCTCTGAACCTTGGCTTCCTCCTCTGGCAAAAGGGAGCAGTAGCACCAGCATATGTCATAACCTGAGATTGTGTGTGCAGACACATAAAGCATGATTCACATGTCATACCTAGTTATCAAGAAGAGTTCTTAGTCATGGGGGGGGGGAGCAGCTACTGCAGCGTGCCCTTGTTCTTGAATCATCACGTTCCATGTTCTCATAGTCTCTTCTGGCTCTCAAGTTATAGTCCCAAGGAGGGTCCAAAGCTGAAACTAAGAAAGGAAACTGCTTAAATCCTATGTTCTCATTGCTGGGTTGCATGTCACAGATGTGAAAGAGGGAAATGGAAAAAAAAATTTTTTGGCTTCTGCTGCTGGACTTCCTGTTTGCCTTGGTGACTGTAGAACCCCCCTGTGGCCTACTTGGTGTCTGATGAGAAAGACAGAAGTAATGGGGACCATGGAGACCACCTTGTTCCCCAAGGGGCCAGCTCTCGGTTTTCCTTTTGAGGGGATGTGGATGTTCACAGCCTAGGGGATAGCAGCTGGCCCAGACAGGATTTCTGCTCTGGAACCCAGAACCCAGGCTAGCTGCTCCCATCTCTCAGAAGTCCCTGTGGACCACCTACTGCGCAGGTGGTGATGCTTGTCTCCTGGAAAGCAGCCTAGCAGGGTTTCCTAGCCTTACACTTCAAACCAATCTGCAGTGCTGATAGCAACCTGTGTTTTCTCTTTTCTCTTCTGGCTGCAGACCTTAGAAGGCCCACCTTCATCTAAATACCTGGGCCTCTGAGTAGATGGCCTCACTGTTACCCTCTCCTGTCCAAACCCTGGAACTTCCTCCTAAACTCTAGCCAAGTCCCTGGGGCACTGCTCCTCCTGATAGTTGAATTCAGTTCAGTACAAGCCAAATAATTATGCATTGAGCAATTGTTTGGTTATCTGAGGATACAAAGATAAATTGAATCTGGGTTCTTCCTCTTATAAAGCTCACTGGTTAGTGGAGCAGAAAGACATATAAAAAGATAATTGTTCATTTATTGAGCAAGTGCCTACTATGTGCTGGGCTTTTAAGTTCTGGGAATGCTTTGGAACTCAAGGTAGACATGATTTCTGCCTTCATGGAACTTAGAGTTGATAGTAATTTTTTTTAAATCACACTTTTAATTGTGCAACTTCAGCTGTATGAATAGTAGGAAATAAGGGTACATATGATCTGAATGCACATGGCAGGGGCCTAATATAGTTGAGGGTGAAGGAGGCTGCCCTGAGCAAGGGGAGGTGTGAGGCAAGTATGAAGGGAAGTGGGCTTAAGTTGGGAAGTAGAGGAATAGAAAGAAGATATCAGACAGAAGGGGCACACTGTATTTATGCTGACTGAGAACTTCTTGTGTGTTGGGAGGACACTAGCCCTGCAGCCCAGAAATACATCCCACTTGATCATGGTGAATAATTCTTTTACTGTACTGTTGGATTCGATTTGCTAATGTCTTTTTGAGAAATTTTGCATCTGTGTTTATCAGGGATATTGTCCTACAATTGTCTGCTTTTGGAATCAAGGTAATGCTGGCTTTGTAGAATGAGTTTGGAAGTTTTCCTTCTATTTCTATTTTTTGGGGAAGAGTTTGAGAAGAATAGGTATGAACTCTATTGGTTTTTTAAAATGTTTATTTATTTATTTTGAGAGAGCAAGAGAGAAAGAGCATGCAAGGGGCAGAGAGAGAGAGGGAGAGAGAGAGAGATTCCACACTTTGAGTTCAGAGCCCGATGCGAGGCTCAATCTCATGAACTGTGAGATCATGACCCGAGACGAAATCAAGAGTCGGACACTTAACTGACTGAGCCACCCAGGTGCCCCTTAACTCTTCTTTAAATGGCTTGTAGAATTCCCCTGGGAAGCCATCTGCCCCAGGACTCTTGTTTCTTGGGAGATTTTTAATTACTGATTCAATTTCTTTGCTGATTGTGTGTCCAAGCAGCTTTTTCTTATGGTGAGTTTACTTATTCACCATTCACTTGTATTTTCTATAAATATGGAGATACTCTAAAAAGTTGACCAAGATAAACATAATTGCATTGTCAGAATTCCAGCCATTTCTTTATTGTAGTTCACAGACTGAGAACCTGTGTTAACAGAGGTGTATTTTCTTATTTCTCTGTTCGCACACAGGCCAGTGTGAGGCTAAGCATGTCTCTTGTAAAATCTTACCCGGGGTTATAAGTTGCTAACACATTCCAATACCCTGAATTTTGCCCACTATCCTCCTGATGCAACAGCCTGCATGATATATGGTCCCTCTTTCAGGCTACATCAGTTTAATTCCTTGTTATTCAAAGTGTGGTCCAACATTGGCATCACCTGGGAGCTTGTTAGAAACGCAGACTCTCTAGGGGTGCCTGGGTGGCTCCGTTGGTTAAGCGCCCAACTTCAGCTCAGGTTGTGATCTCACAGTTTGTGGATTTGAGTCCCACACCAGGCTCTGTACTGACAGCTTAGAGTCTGGAGCCTGCTTCCGATTCTGTCTCTCTCTCTCTGCCCCTCCCCCTCTTGCTCTCTGCCTCTCTCTCTCTCTCTCTCTCTCAAAAATAAATAAACATTTAAAAAAAGAAAGAAAGAAATGCAGACTCTTGGGGCACCTGGGTGGCTCAGTCGGTTGAGTGTCTGACTTAGGCTCAGGTTATGATCTCAGGGTTCATGAGTCTGAGCCTTGCGTCGGGCTCTGTGCTGACATCTCAGAGCCTGGAGCCTACTTTGGGTTGTGTTTCTCCCTCTCTGCCCTTCCCCTCTTGCACTCTGCCTCTCTCTCTCTCTCAAAAATAAATAAACATTAAAGTAACCTTAAAAAAAAAAGGAAATGCAGACTCTTGGTCCCCACCCTAGACCTATTGAACTGGAATCATTTGAACGAGACCCCTAAATGATTTTTTTTTTTTTTGCCCATTAAATTTCAAGAGGCAGATAAACCAAGTATATCACAATCACCTAAAAAAGGATTGCTGACTTTCCAGCCCATGATCAACCCCTATCTCTTCAGTTCAGCCAATTCCATCAGGCTTATGATCTGTTTGTTCATTTAAACATTCCTACTTATTGCTACCAAATTCTGCATTACTTATCATGCATTTGCTGGGTCCAAGTCACCAAAAAGCCAACTCAAGTTGGCCTAATTAATAGGGAAATTTTTAAGTTGGATGCTAGATACACAAGTGGTCATTAATACTATTTGTTCCATATTTCTATTATTGTAACTTTTTTAAAATTGTGGTAAAATACACTTAACATAAAAGTTACCATTTTAATCATTTTAAGTGCACAGTTCAGTATCAAGTGTATTCACATCATTGTACAACCAACGTCTGTTCCACATTTTTGATCATCTAAAATACACATTAAAAAAAGAAAAAAATCTAACCAGAAGTCTAGAGATAAGGCGGAGTTCAGGATTGACTTAATTCAGTGGTTCTGGCTTCCTTTACTCTACAGTTCTCTTGGCTTTGCCTTCTCTAAGCTTCTAGCCATCCTTCCTTTGGAAGCAAGATGGCACACAACCACATTCACAGACAGGCAGAGAATCTCACAGAAGAGAGAGAATAGCTTTCCCAGTAATGTTGGCAAGTTTTTTCTCACATCTCATTGACCTGAATTGGATCACATGCTGGTTTCTTAATTGGCAAAGAGATTTTAAACCTCATCAGATTATTGCCTTAGAGAGGTCACTCTGGTTTCAGTATGGAGAAGAGTTGGATGGGGAAAGACTATAGATGGAGAGGTCAGGTGGGAACCTATTGCTGTCATCTAGGCAAGAGCTAGTGGTAACTTGAAATAAGATAGTGATTGGTTGTCCTGGAGGTGGGGAGCCAAAACAAATTCCAGAGATATTTATGCGGTAGATTAACCTGATTGAGACCTTAACTCTATCTTCTGTTGAAAGAATAAAAATACTTTCCCCTCAACCCTTCCTCAAGAAAGCAATTAAAGTTTTGTGTCCTGGTGGATTGCATTTTCCTTGCCTCCTGGGAAATTAATAAGTGTTTGTTTTACCTAAACAAGCAAATAAATTAACCCCCCCACCACCACCACTGCCAACAACAACAACAACAACATAACTGACAAACGTAGCTCACAAAGGTTAGGGAGCTCTGTCGAGGTACTCAGGGGAGGAGGGAAAGTAGAAAGGAGACAGCTTGGTTTCTGAAGGCTGAAGGGATGGAGGGATTGCTAGTTATGTTGGAGATGCAGGGCCAAGAAACAGGGAACTTTAGCTCCTTTTCAGCTTTCCTAGATGGGGCAGGACCTCTAATGGGGTGGCACATGGATATCTGTGGCTAATCCCTAAGGCTGGGGTCCCAGGGGACTGAGTTAGTCATGAGGAAGATGGACATGATGATCAGAAAGTAGCTGCTCCTCGGAGAGTGCAGACCATGACCATCCCAGTAATGACCATGATGGAGTGAATGTCTTTCCAAGGCAGGGGGACACTACTCCAGGGAGTGGAAAAGGCTGCTAATATTGACTGACACTGGATTTCCATCAGCTTTGCTGAGTGGAAGCTTGGAACCAGATCTAATTTAACAATGTATACTATTATAATTGTTCACATAATACAGTTGAGAATAAATACAATGCATACCCATGCTCCATCACCCAGATTTGCATTGTTTCCTCTGCTTGGAATGCTTATTCTCCAGATATCCATGTGGCTTGCTCCGTCACCATATTCAGGTATTTACTTGAATATCACAGTTCCAGTGAGTGTTTTCCTGATTTCCCTTAAAAAACATTTCAAACTCCTCCCACAATTCTTATCATCCTTCCTTGCTTTATTTTTCTTCACGGAACTGACCACTATATATTGTACCATGTTTTACTTTTTTGTTTACTTTCTATCTACCTGGACCATAATGTAGATTCCATGAGGTCAGAGACTGTACATCCCCAGGGCTTAACACAGTGCCCCACACATAGAGACTAGCAATAAATATTTGTTAAATGAATAAATGAAGTGAATTAATTGATGAATGGTGGAACAAACTCATAACCACCACATCTTGGGCTTGGACAGAATTGCTGAGAATCCTTACTCAAAGTAATTTGCATCACCATCTACTTTCAATCCCAATAACTGTAGCCAAACAATTTTTTTTTGAGAGAATAGTCAAAACTTTGAATCAAACTTATTGTGTAGATATGAATATAGACTGTCAAAAGGTCGTTTCTGATTTGGGAAAAGTCAGTAGACTTTAGCAAGATTAAACTTGAAAGAGTCCTGCAA